AATGGCAGCTAGAAGCCTCCTTCGACGTCTCTTCTAGCCTCGTCGGAGTTTAGGGGACCCTCCGCTCGCCAGCCGGGCTAAACCTACACCAAACCTGCGCCAAACTTAGACGCCAAAGGCAATGTCGTGCTTTGATCTATGGGCTAGTCTAGCCAACCTAACAACAAGCGCGTTCCCAGGTAAGCAAGCAAGGCGCAGGGTCCGTGACGATTTTGGGTTTGCCTACTTGGGATGCCGCTGCGAACTGCAAGTCACATCTTATCGCATGCGTCTCGAGCGTGTAAGTTTGAACGGCGCATACCCGCGTCGAAATTTGGTGTTGGTCTGAGGGAAAACAGGGTCCTTTGCCCCACCAGCTTGCGACCTGCAGGACACGCCGGTGAACTTGGCCACCACCAACTGCAAACTATAACACAGCCGCATATAGGGCGGCCAACAATTACAGAACCTGAGACGCGCATTTTGCTGACGTGATGCCAACTTTTTTCTTGCTGCATTGTCAACATCAGGCGTTAGTGCTGTTCTCAAAGACGTTCAGACTGCTCGCGTGTGGAAACAGGATTTTTCTGCACGGTACCTTGTGTAACTTGTTTTTTACTCCTTCCTCAATCGGAATTTTTGCGGGGTGCCGTGCATGAGGCTTGCGGTCGACAAGAAACGGAGGTGCAGCACGGAGGTGCCGAGTCTGGGACCTAGAAGTACCGAGTACCAGTGATTTGAGTGTGTAATAATAGAGACTGTAGTATGGTAGAGTTGCGTTTGATTTAGAACTACGACTATCGTTACAGCATATTGTACATCGTGAGTTGCCGGCTTCGAAGAGGCGTCCAGGAGATACGCAAGCATGCAAGCGCCGCCCACTCCTCCACTTTGCATGTCAGGCAATCCGTACGGCAGATATCGTCGTGTTTAGAGTTTCGAGGGTGTGATGTCCTGCATGCTCAGGCAGTCTGGCCACCCAGAAACCACATCATGCAGTGGACATCGCCGTTAGGATTGAAGGGATCGATAGCCGACATTAGTTTCCTCTCTTACACACACAAACACCCACACCTGCATTCGGCAGTCGTCCGTTCGCTCCGTTCCGTTCTTTATCACACCCTCAATGTCACTCTGACGGTTTTCCCCACATTCCGATCGAGATCACAGAATCCCGTCTCTTCACGTGGCTATGCTATTTTCATGACATCTCCTATGTGTTCTTTTTGCGTGGCGGCTTGACTCCCGTACCGTTTTACCGCCACCACCGCCACCAGACTATACTCCTTTCCTCCTTTTCTGAATAGGACATGGCGAACTCGTACGGATTTCGCCGTCCTATCTGGCTACATGGCCAGCCAACGCTACCTTAGTTCAACGCCCAGCCTCTCCACAAGCATGCCTTTCATCCGCTCATGCAGCTCATTAGTCTCCTTGTTCGTGAGTGTGCGTTCCAAGCTGCGGTAGTTGAGGCGGTAGCACATGCTCTTGCGCCCAGTCTTTGGATGCACGAATTCATCCGTTAGGCGCACATCCTCTACAAGATCACCGCAGACCTCTCGCGCGATCTCCATCACATCGTTCTCGTGGAAGCTGGAGGATGATGGCGCCGGGGCTGCTGGTGGGATTGGCGTGCCAGATGGGGTTGTAGGAGCAGAGGATGGGGTGGGGGATGTCGTGGATGAACTGCCTCCTGCAAGCGGATGAATAGCTGCGGCGCCACCAGCGGCATTCGAGCTACTTTTCAACCAGAAACTCACGTCCTTGAAACATGCAGGGTGTTTGCTAAAAGGCTCGAATCGACGGATGGCTTTCTGCTCGCTGAACTGCGATAAGAAGCGAGAGTCCCTTGACCAAAACAGACGTATGTCCGGGATGGAGTAAAGCAACATGGCGATACGTTCGAGACCTATGCCAAAAGCCCACCCTATACGATTGGGAACCGAGGCATTGTTCAGGATGGGTTGTGACACGATGCCGCAGCCGAGCACTTCGAGCCAATCGCCTTGCCAAAAGACTTCCAGTTCCCAAGAGGGTGATGTGAAGGGGAAGTAGGCCTCCACCCAGCGTACCTTTAGTGGCTCGTCTGACGTGGCAGTATCTGCAGCACCCTTTGCAGCATTAAAGATCGTGACCACCATATCCTCAAGACTTCGTTTCAGGTGTGCAGCCATGGCTTCTGCTTCTTCTGCCGAATGTCCTGTTTGAAGTGGGTTACGCTCGGCGTGGAATGGAGGGTTTGGGTCTTCGACTGCAACATCGTGCTTGGGAATCTTCTCCACATCATCCCAGATGACCTGCGCAAGTGTCTTGCCTTCTTTTTCTGCTTGCTGACGGTCCCAAGTCCTGGCTCCCTCCATCTGATGGAAAACAGGATAGTGGCTTCTGTCGATGGCATCTCGTCGGTATACGTCAGCACTGATGAGATAGCCCTCGCTCTCATTGTTGCGGAAAGTATCGGCTTGATGAGCCGAGGTGTGTGTTCGTAGTACGGTTTCCTTGTTTATGTAGTACGTGTCCGTCCTGCTTCGACCTATGTGATCTAATGGAAAGCCGAGAGAATCGAAATTTTGACCGGTGGTGACAATAGGAAAAAGGGCGTTATGGGTCTTGTAACCCGGAAAGCGTGATTCGATGAGTTTTCGCGTGATGGTCAGAGGGTGATCTGGTTGCAGATGAAGGCGTCTTGGTATAGCGTCGAGAATAGTTGAGGGTGTGTTCATCCATTCATCGGTCTGATACGTTCGTCCTTCTATCTGCACTTCTTTCGGGAATGCTCCTATGAGAACTTAGATACCACACTCTGAAACTTCTTCGTCGTCCCAAGTACGCGGATTTGCAGCTCAACACCATCAAGACGATAGTGGAATAGAGGAATATTCCTCCTCTGCATCTTCTGAGACTCGCTCAACGCCGGAGTAGTACGGTCGCTGCGATATGGAAAGCCGCGAGCCGCGTCACATGACGGCAAACTCACCAGAAGAATTATATCTCACCGCTTGCCGCCACGACCAGGGCGACACTGAGCTCCGTGGTACTCGAAATAGGACATTTCGACCTAATTGACGGCAAAGCGCCGCAGAAGAAAGTGGTATTCGCATCTTTGATGATGAAATTCGCCGTTACCTTCGCGACCTCAAAACCACGCGGGCCGCCAAGCCCAGCCCGCCAGCTCCGAGCTTAAATCCGGAAGCAGCACGTTTTGCCGATGACGTCCGCGCGTGCCGAATTCTCGGTCCCTCAACTACCACCGAAGCTTTACGGGCTTCCTTACTTTTAAGGCTACAGCTTCCCTGTCCCTGCCAGCTACACATGCTGTTGCTGCGCGGACTTTCACCTTCAACATGGCGGACGTCAAGAAGCCCGTGAGCGTGCCTGAGCTACGGAAGAGCGAAGATGTGAAGCCTCTCAAGAAGACGCCAATACGCTATCCGTTCTGGTTTGGTGGAAGCGCAAGTTGTTTTGCGACTTTCTTTACACATCCTCTGGATCTTGGTAAGCTTTGTACCGCTTTGTGCGCAACACTGGGTAGTGGCTGATAGTTTGAGTAGTCAAGGTAGCTTTATCGACTGTCGCGTGCGCCAATTTGTGTATACTCATAAAATCAGGTCCGGTTACAAACACAAACGATATCTGGCGTTAAGTTGAACATGATGCAAATGTTCAAGCATGTTATAAAGACTGATGGCGCATTGGGACTGTACAAGGGCGTAAGTCGTCTTATCTATTCAATTCCAATTGGACCCGTCTAATGCAACGATAGATTTCCGCAGCCCAGCTCCGCCAAGGGACATATAGCATGACACGCTTCGGTGTCTACGAAGCCCTCAAAGACCGCATGACGACCGCCGACACGAAACCCTCGTTCCTCACGCTCGTAGGCATGGCTTCCATATCAGGATTCCTCGGAGGATTCGCCGGTAACCCAGGAGACATCTTGAACGTACGGATGCAGCACGATGCCGCACTACCGAAAGAAAAGCGGAGAGGATACAAGAACGCGATTGATGGGATAATACGAATGTCGCGGGAAGAAGGAGTAGCAAGTCTATGGAAAGGCGTCTGGCCCAACTCGTCAAGAGCTGTGCTCATGACAGTTGGACAATTGGCAACATACGACGGATTCAAGCGCGTGCTGCTGAATTACACGCCGCTGCAAGATAACCTCGCAACACACTTCTCAGCATCATTTTTGGCTGGATTTGTAGCTACAACGATATGCTCGCCGGTAGATGTCATCAAAACCAAAGTCATGAGCTCCAGTGAGAGTGTAGGACTAGTGAAGACCGTCACGGATACTATGAGAGCAGAAGGGTTCCGCTGGATGTTCAAGGGTTGGGTGCCGAGCTTCATTCGCGTTGGCCCGCACACCGTGCTCACGTTCTTGTTTTTGGAGCAACACAAGAAGGTCTACAGGCAATTGAAGAAGCTGGAATAGATAAATGGGGAATGGCAAAGACGCGCATCTGCTTTGTGCAATATTGGGTATGCGACAAGGCGAATGATACCACACGGGCGGGCGTTTGGCGCTGACAGCATTGCGCGGCGCAACATTATAGACTAGGCTTGGATGCGTCGGTCGGCTTGCATATACATACGACCGATGTGCATATACCTTAGAAAATATCAAGAAGTACACATCCCAGTACCAATGTCTGTTGATACGCTGTTATACCTTCTAGCAATCTAGAAACGCCAATCCCGACTTGACCATACGTCAGCTCCATCTATCAGCAAGCCATTACGGGCTTTGTATTCACCTAGATCGACCAGAAGTGTGTAGCATAGTTGTTGGGGGGTCTGAGTAATTCATGCGAAAGGATCAGTAACACAGCCTTTGTCAGGCATACAGCATATAAGATGGATTTGGGTAGGATGCAACACTCTGTCTACTTCAGGAAACAACACAACGTTGTAGACATAGTAAGACTGCTATTATTGATACACAGATTACGATGATGAAGTCCATCTGCTTCAGTACCTCATTCTCTATCCCCAATCACTCCCCGGCGGAAGTACAATCAAGCATCACCATAGTCATTCTGCATTGTCCTCCATTCATCACAGATCTTCTTTACAGCCAACATCCTTTCATCTCCATCTACTTCCAACGAACGGATGCCTGGCTGTATCTTCATATTCGCGAAAAGCCTCTCAACCTCCCTCTTTTCTTCGTCATACGTCGCACAGGCCTCTTCTCTAGCCCTCTGTATCCGGACCTGTTCTGGCTGCAACTCTTGGATGGCACTGTGTATCTTTCGTATAAGGCTCTTGAGAAACAATCCACTGGTTTGTTCCTCACGGGTGTGATTCCTCTGATCATCCGTGCTGGACTCGCCATGCTTCCTCGCCCATCTTTCCATAGCGCCGTTCAAATCGCTCTTAACCATGACAACAAGATTTTCGTCAGGAATCCGAAGCCTGCCGCCCTCTAAATATTCGTTGTATACCGTGTCATTCGAGCGGGCGCGAAGTCTTTCTTCGCCATCGGATATGAGAAACTGTTGACAGGTAGCGTTGACATCAGTAGTACGCTTCAGACACTCTATGTCTGACCTAAGCAGGGCTTTGCCTATTTCTTCAATGCCCGAGTGTTTTGGACCGATGATGTAGATGCGAGCTTCTTTGGGCTTGACGCCGGAGTACATCGATTGGTTGGACATGAGTATCTTGAGATCGGAAAGATTGCTTTGGTGAAGGCTTGAGTGCCGTGTGAAAGAGGCTAAGTATATATACATGTTGGATTGCGATTGCTTTGCAAGTTTGGCAAGCGAGCCGGACACCGGACTCAATGTTTGTCTGGAGTTGTACGTCTTTAATGGATACAGATGACCAGTATCATGCGCTAGATATTGGGAGTGGGGTGCCAACGGCGACAATATGATGTACAACGAGGATACAATCCGTGGAAATCAGGTCATGGCGCTGATCATATCAAGAGGGAGTACGGGAAATACAAGAGTATGGAAACATGATGTTCAGGATACCCGGTGCGCGATGCTGAGGCAAACGTGAGCCTGGCAGAACATAAGCTTGAGGGATTGCAAGATGTACGCACGATGGGCAGAAGCGTTGACGATGGAAAAGCTAATACAGCAAGGTCGAGATGGACAATGAGACGAGTTCGAAAGGACGCGCAGTGTAAGAAGATATACCAGCAAGAGAAATGTCGGATACGAAGGTTGTGGAGCGGTCGTGAAGTGATGCAATTGTTTATTGAGACAACTGCCTTAAGCAGTCAGTGGTATGAGAAGCGCCTATTCCCTAGAATGCCCGAAGTTTTCATTCAGATACAGGAGCCCACACCGTTATTTTCGTGCCGACGCCAATGTAATCATTCCACGACCCAATCATGAACTCATGATAACGCTCTAGTGCTTCATGGAAGACGCCCTCCTCTTGCGGGCCTCCTCGTGTGCGGCCTTGGCGTCGTTGATGCGCTTGGAAAGGATCTGAGCGTACTCGTTCTGCAGTATCATTAGCCTCTGTGTGTCTTGTAGTGAATGGTGTGAACGTACGGCAGCATCCTTGGAAGCCTCCGCGCGACGGCGCTTGAGTGCGAGCCTGTGGCGCTTGTGCTGGAGACGCTGAGGAGTGACAAGACGCTGGATCTTGGGGGCCTTGGTGTAGGGCTTTGCGCCCTCCTTCTTGGGGACGACTTCACGGCGAATGACGAACTTGCGGACCTACACACGCAATGATTAGTACTCAAACCTTCAAACTTTCTAGCTCACTTCTTGTTGCTCAGACTCAATGCGCTGCTTGTAGCAGGATGAGCGAGACTCAATCCGCTATGCGAAGCAGGATTGGCGAAGAAGCTATGAGAGAACTCACATCATCTTCCTTGCTGAGACCGAAGAAGCGGCGGATCTTGGTGGCGCGCTTGGGACCGAGGCGCTTGGGGTGGACAATGTCGGTCAGGCCGGGAATGTCCTCGTCGCCCTTCTTGACGATGCTGAGGGCAAGGACGGAGAGATCCATGCCGACGATGCATCCGCGGACGGACTTCCTCTTGCGCTCACCAGTGCGGCGAGGGCGGTAGCAGGAGTGGCCGTCGGAGAGCAGGAGGCGGACACGAGTTGGGTGCATGACACCCTGCTTCATCGGGAAACCTTGCTTGTCGTTACCGCCGGTGATCTTGACGATGTATCCCTTGAACTCGTCGCCGATGCTGTCGGCGGGGACTTCCTGACCCATGCGGCGCTCCATGAAGACGCGGAGCTTGCGCTCATCGTCGACCTCGATCAGCTTCTGGGTGCCATTGTTGGGGTATGAGATGTTGAGCTTCATCTTGACTGCGGCGTCTCGACGGCGTGTGGAAGCTGCAACGTTAGTAGATTGTCGTGGTGTTGTCGGGGTCGTGGCCTGCGAAATTAGAATTATCGAAATGGGCCTTCGCTTCGTGGTGCGCGCTAATCGAAATGGAGATTGTCACGTGCTAGCGCGACTTTCAGGTACAGCCCGCGGGCAACTGCGACCAACAACATGATGCGCCCCACCAGATGTACGTTTTCACATGCTCGTGCTTTTACAATCAGAAACTCTCGTTATGCGAGGTTGGAATTTATAGTACGATGACTCATGCTGACTCTGCGCGGGTAGACAAGCAGTTCATAGCAAAGAGGCACAGACATGTACATGATCAACACTTGCATTGCATTTTCAGTATCCTGGCGTTACAATAGCGGGTGGGCTCTGGCTTCGCAATCCAGATTGACACTGCATACTCATGTTCACGAAACAGACTGGAACAAGCGAAGTGAAGTTGTACTGTAACGTATTTGCGCTATTCGAACGGGATATCATACTATGCCATGCCCGTTAGACTCATTGCAACCAGAGTCCTACCAAAGGTATCCCCACTGTCCTTAATACACATGCTATCATTCCTAACTCGAAATCGAGTCATCCCAAGAGGTGAACCACCAACGCCGGAACCATGCACTCGCAATGTCATTTGAGCAGATGATGCTTTTTGAAAACAGAAGGAAAGAAACGAGGTGAAATGTGCACAACCGTCTAGTGCATGAGCTCGACCGGCGGCCTTGATGTGCTCACTGCTATGCCCTGTGCCTTCTGCGATGCGATCGGGCCCTCGACGCCCTCCATCGCATCGATGGGTGTCAACGGCTCAGGTGTCTCTGTTGTGTCTTCGACGGATATGGCTGGAAGGTTCGGCGAGTCACCGTGGTCTTCGGGGTGGTAGACAACAGTGGTGCTGCCAGTTCGCCTTCTTGTGATGGATGGGCCGCCGTGGTCGGTCGTAGGCGATGTCGCCTCGTGGTTTGCATGTAACCGGGCCAGCGCTGCCGCAAGGTCTTCTGGGTGTACAATCTTGTTCGGCGCATCCTCTTCTTTCATTTCCCAGCCCATGGGTGGAGAGGGCGGCGGCGAAATGAAGAATAGTCGGTCGGACTTTGGGAGGGCGAGGTGCTGGTCGGAGGGGTTCATGGGTGTGTTTACGCCGAAGTATACGCGGATGCGGTAGCCCATGAGCTGTTCGCCATCAAGGGCTTGTCGGACCTGGATCGCAGAGTCGACGTCGAAGAAGGATACTACGATGCGACGGAAAGACTTGAGCGGCGCCCATGTGTGTACTTTCGCATATTTGTCTACGGTTTCGCGAATCTCGGTGAGTGTGGATAGTGAGAAGATCTCGGGTGCGAGAAGATTCTAAACGCTGTCAGTGGAAGCTCCCAAATTCAAAGAAAGGAATACTCACGGTTATGATGAGAGTGTTTGAAGGAGGTGATGGCTCGACGAGCGGTGGGAGGTCTGAAAGGTCGAGAGAAAGTGGCGACTTGCTCCCCGATGACGCGCGGGAGCGCATTGGTGATGGAGGTAGAGTAGCCTGCATGTTTGCGATCATTTATGTTGCGCAAAGATATACTGTGGTCTGTTGGTTGAGTTGCTGTGGTGAGTTGGAGGGCAAGAGACCGACAGCGTGTGTCTTATATCAAAGTTCGCCTTCAGCGGTTGGTCGTTGCAGCGCCCGCACGCAAGCAGCGACGGTTGCTCCGCCTCAATCCGCCAAGGCCAGACTCCGGCCATGCCATTTCCCGCGTCCATGTCCCATGTCTCTGCTTCTTTCGCGCCATTTCCTGGGCACCATTGCACTGCCCCGCCCTATTGCTTCCCAACGCACTGTGCTGCTGGAGGTCTCCGGACCTCGGCGGACGCGTCAATGATGGATTCAACTGACGATAGCACGAGACGCAGAGAAAGGAGAGGGCCTCAGCCTCGCTGATGCATAGTCGCCTGCCACTCAGCCTCATGTCCACGAAAGAAACATCTACCAGTGTCTCGCTGGTTCCACAGAACATCCTTTACTGACTATTCAAGCACCGAGTCCACTGCTAGTGTCCGGCTTATCCATGTTAGGACTACACAGCATGCATGCAATACCATCAAGGCCTTATCTCGTCCGACTGGGCATGTAATAGGTCATCACTCGGCGGCAGACTCGTTTATTGTCCGTCTGCCATAGGCATGCGATACGGCAAGGACAACTGTTCAACTCGGTCGGCTCATTGCGCAACACAGCCATAGGCGCTTTGCGCTTGAGGTTCTTTGTCGGCCAATAGTACCCGTCATGTTTGGATTTTGTTGTGATGCTCAAGTCAGGCTTGGCCCATGGAAAATGTCTCATGTGTTCAACTGCAAGGCTGATCAAAGGCCATGCTCGTCTCGTGACTGTCTCGAGCTCCGCGTACGCCGGGCGCATCCACAAGTCTTCATGCGCACAACCGTTGTACATGTCTCCTGTTTGGTGTGTACAATCAACGCACGAGACGGTAGCTGCAGGTGATGCTATGACGACTCCGCCTTTGCGAAATCTGCGGTTTCCCTAGTAACTCTTAAGCATAGAACTCAGACGTCATCCAACCATTGATCTTGGTCTATGTGACCCTGCATGCAATTCTACACTCGGCGTAATCTCGCCAGCTGCTGACCCGTATGACGATGCCACAGTCAATGGTGTGGCTGGTTCTAGGTGTGGCGTAGATGCATGCGCCACACCTAGACGCTAGGCTGCTTCGCTCCCAGACTCACCTCAAAGAATCTCCATCAGGACGACGACCCTAGCCAGCACACCCCACACACGCCAACACGTCTCTCTCCGCCTCTGAATCCAGTCGCCCTAGTACCTCGGCTCCATCACGAGCCTCGCAAGCACATAGCCCTCTCCTCCCTGAAACGACGACGCGATGGACTACGACCCAGATGGCGGCGCAATCAACGTGCGCTTCCTCCAGGTACACCGCCCGCTCCGTCTGCCCCAGGACACGTCGAGCTAACCCAGCTATGCGTAGGCCGACAGCCAGCGCGCCAACTTCATCGTCCAGAACTTCAATCTCGAAACCGCAAACTCGCTCCGCCGTGTGATGCTCGCCGAGATTCCCACCCTAGCCATCGACGTCGTAGAAGTGTTCGACAACACATCTGTCCTCGCCGACGAGTTCGTCTGCCACCGTCTCGGCCTCATTCCTCTGTGCTCCAAAGGCGTAGAAGAGCTGCTGTACTCGCGCGACTGCGACTGCGAAGGCTACTGCGACAACTGCGCCGTCGTTCTCACACTCAACGCGAAATGCACAGGCAGCGAGATTATGAAGGTGTACGCGCGGGATCTGGTGATTGAGTCTCGGGCACCAAACGAAGAGTTGGGGAAGCCGGTCATCACTGATTCAGAAGAGACAGGTAGTTGCATTGTCAAGTTGAGGAGAGGCCAGGCCATCAACATGAAGTGCATCGCGAAGAAGGGTATCGCAAAGGAACACGCGAAATGGGCGCCCAGTGCAGCCATCGGCTTCGAGTACGATCCGGCGAATAAGCTGCATCACTTGGATTACTGGCACGAGGAGGATGCGGACAAGGAGTGGTATGTCTTGTCTAACCCACCCGAACGTTGTGTAACAGCACATCTCTAACAGATATCCAGGCCCAAAGACGAAGCTCGCATCAATCTCGACGGTGGACCTCCCAACCCCGACGAACCCTTCAACTACGACGCCGCCCCATCACGCTTCTTCTACGACGTCGAAACAGTCGGCGGTCTCGAACCCGATGAAATCGTTACACAAGGCATCGCCATCCTGCAACGCAAACTCGCCGAGATCATCAAAGAATTATCTGGCGGCGTTGGAGGCCCGGAGGACTTTGGCGGCGCGCAGAGTCCAACACTGAACGGTGCTGGATACGGTGATGCGGGCGGATATACTCCTGTTGGAGGAGGCGGATACGGAGGAGCGAGCTCGTGGGGCGGTGCAGCACAAGGAGGAACTACGCCATATGGAGCTACGCCTTACGGGCAGTCCAATTGGTAGACGAAGAGAGTGGCGTGTTTGGGTGTACAACATTGCATGGGCCTGGCGTTCTAAAAGGTGTGGGCGTCAACAGACTGCAAGACTGCTCAAAAGAAACGCAGTCCTTCTTCACATATTGGCATCTGACACTAAAACAAAGACATTTTGCGAATCGCTATCGGAACTGAGTTGATGCGAATGGCATTGATATCTCTGCTAGCCCTTTGGGCTGCCTTCTTTTGCTCATGGTTCGTCATATCTAACATTACAATATACGCAAAGCCATTTCGTCATCATGCTTGCTTCAACTTTTCCAAGATGCGTCTGAGAGGGGAATATATGTACAAAGATGTACCTCGTGAATGGACACGAAAACGCCATGCCCCCAATGTACCGTGCCAGATCAAAGCAGCCAACCATACAATGGAGCCGAACCGAAGTAGTCATACACATGCGAAGAAGATCGTGGCGACAGCGACAGAGGTCCTGGTTCGCGTAGAATGAAGCTCATATTGCTTCTAATGATGTCGGATCTAGGCGTTCTTTACAACGCCAACCTTGGCCGGTCGCAGTGTCCGGCCGTTGAGCTTGAAGCCCTTCTGCTGTGTGTGGAAGCAAGTTCCGTCCTCCTTGTCAGGCTGCGGCGCTTGGAAGACCGCCTCGTGGATGTTGGGGTCGAACTTCTCGGCCGCCTCGCTGGGGTCGAATCGCTCCAGACCGTGCTTCTTCAGCGTGTTAATGAGGATGGTGTCGGTCATCTTGATGCCGTCGTGCAGAGCAATGAGATCGGTGTTATCACCCTTGAGCTTCTCTTCTGGCACGGTGCCAAGGGCGCGGTCGAGGTTGTCGACGGACTCTACGAGGTCGCGGGCGAAGCGCTGGATGGCGAAGTCTTTAGCGGCCTTGATTTCGCGCTGGGTGCGCTCTTGGAGGTTGCGGAAGTCGGCGACTGAGCGGAGATACTTGTCCTGTGGAGCCATGTCAGTCTGCTGTTGTCATGCATTTAGGCAGCATTGAAGCATACCTTCAAGTCGACAATTTCCTTGTCCTTCTTCTCTAGCTGCTCCTTCAGTTGCGTCGCCTCATTGTTCTCTGCGGGCGCATCCTCCTTCTTCTCGGCAGCCTCGCCCTCCTTTGCTGGTGCAGCATCTGAGTACCACCGGATAGCGGGCGTCGCGACTGCTCGTGTGATGGGTGATTGTTGACGTAGTGGCGCAAAAGGCCGTATTGAGCGGGCAGCCTGCTGTCTTGAGGCGCGGAAGATGGTTCTTTGCAACATTGTGTGGTATGAAATGTGGAATGAAGCAGAGGATGCAAGGTTTATGCGAAGGCGATAGTGCAGCTCAGGTGGATGCGATGATGATGCAGACGTTCGAGGAAAAATTCGGAGCTGTGAGTGACGAATGCCTGTGCTTCCATCAGGGTCCAATTCTTTCCGTTCCGAGGCGGATCCTTTCCGAACAATTTGCCATCCGGCGATCGCATACGCCTTTGGCATGCATCTCGACAAGTCAATGCCATGATGCGTGATGCGTCCTTCGCCAGTCTTCTCTCTGCGTATACGCTCTTTTGTCTCGCGACATGACGTCGTTCCGCCGTCTGCGACAGTCCAGAAACCTATCGAGGCGGCCTATTACCGTGGGGGAACATCACGAGGCGTAATCCTACAGCCGCAAGCCTTGCCTAAAGAGCGCGCAAGATGGCCGACCATATTCCGCCAGATCATGGGGAGTGGTGATCCCTATGGGCGGCAACTTGACGGCATGGGTGCGGGCATATCGAGTCTGAGTAAGATATGTCTCGTAGAACCCTACGGGAGGAGAGTGGCTTTGCCCGAGAGAGCCACTCGATTTCGAACAGGCTTTGGTGGTATTGATGCAGCTCGTAAAAGTTCGCAGGCTATACAGGCTGCAGAGGCTCTGGAAGAGGCGGGATTGGCCGGGGATGAGCCAAAGTTGGACATTGATTACACATTCGTCGGCTTGGGCATTGAAGACAATGAAGTTGACGTCGCAGGCAACTGTGGAAACATGAGCAGTGCAATTGGCCCTTATGCTTATAACGCCGGTCTTCTCCCATCAAGGGTATACGCCCAGGGAGACGGAGAAGTCACAGTCAAGATACGGAACACCAACACTGGAAAGCTGCTCGACTCTACCTTCGAAGTCATTGGAGCGCAAGCTGCTGTCGCGGGTGACTACAGCATTGACGGCGTTACCGGAAAAGGCTCAAAGATCAGATTGGATTTCAAACGTCCATACGGCAGCAAAACTGGCAGAGTGCTACCTACTGGCAGGAGAGTGGACAACATTGGGGGCTACAGAGTATCGTGCATAGATGGCGCGAACCCAGCGATCTTCGTCCGAGCAGACGATGTCGGAGTGGATGGTACTATCCTACCCGACGACTTCAACAATCTTCAGGAAAAGCTTGCTTTGCTTGAAAGCATTCGCAAAGCCGCTGCCGTTGTCATGGGTATCGCATCTACAGAGGATGAGGTCCCTCGTACCGTTCCCAAGATCGGCATCGTATCACAATCATCTGCGCACCCCGTCCTGTCAGGGAAGACTCTCAAGGCATCACAGATGGACATTGTCGTACGTTTTCTCTCAGACACACAGCCTCATCGAGCCATTCCTTTGACTGCTGCATTGACGACAGCCGTCGCGGCGCGCATTCCCGGAACAGTTGTCGAGCAGATGCTTGCTCCTGAGCCTTTGATGGAGGGCGCCATCACCATAGGTCACGCAAGTGGTCGACTGCAGGTCAACGCCACAATGGATCCAAGGAACAAGCTCATCCCCGCCAGTGGTACGGTATACAGAACCGCGAAGAGGCTGCTCGAAGGAAATGTATTCTGGGCCGACAAATTTGGGGAGACGGAACTGAGGGAAGACACTACTGAAACCAATACCACCTATGGTAGTAACGGCCGACACTCTCTTGGGCTAGCTTTCGTTCTGGAGAACCGCGGTAAAGATTCATCCCACCTCTTCGAAGAAGACGTCGCACGTGCAAAGCAACAAGAATCGGACATGGACCAAATCATAAGCCAACAACCGACTCTAGAGCAGATTGAAGAAAACGAGCAGAAAGAGGAGCCCGAGGTCCCAATCCTAGTTTACAGACCCCTCCCCGACCCGCACAGGAAGCGTCGCGATCTGCGGGAAATACCCAAAGAAGAAGACGCTCTCACACTCGCCATCCAAGGTCTACACTCCGAACTCACCGGACTGCTGCACGATGAAAAGATCATGGACACCACGGAACAGAACTCCAACCTTCTCGAAGCTGTCCTCAGGGCACACCGTGACATACAAATCAACTCCCTGATCCAAAGGCGTTCGGCCGAGAAGGCTAGCGAGAAGGCGAAGAGATCTATGGTTCAGAAAAGTAGAACTCGTGCACAGAAGGTTACAGCGGGCGGGAAGTTGAGATGGGAGCATGTGGAAAGGGCAATCTCCGCCCGCGTTACGGAGCAGGCAAGAAAGAGGGTGGAGAGTTGGGGGAGAACGGAGAGGACGAATACCGATGGTATGGATGAACATATGGGGGAGAGAGTGGAAAGGAACATGACGCTCCAAGGCGATGGCGGTGAGCAGCAGAAGATGGAGAGATCGGTGAAAGAAGACATGGAGGAATGGATGATGAAAAAAAAAGACGAGGAGCAGAAAAGGTCGTTTAGGGAAGACATGGAGATATGGAAGAGGAACGCCCAAGAAAAGAAGGAGAGGATGGAGAAGAGGGAGAGAGATATGATGAGAGATGACATGGAGGAATGGGAGAGGAGCCAAGAAGAAGAGGAGGAGGAGGAGGAGGAGAGAAGGATAAGGAGAGAAGCCTTGGACGAAATCCCGAGCAACCGCGAAAAAGGGGACACTTCGATGTTTAGTAAGGACCCGGAATTTGGTGCTTTAGCGGAGAGAGAGCCGGGGAAGAGGGCTCCTAGAGATGTAGGACCGAAGATTAGCGTTTACCCCGTTAAGACGGCGAAAATGAAGGCAAAGCGGATGAAAGCTTTATACCGTAAGCCGAGGTCGTGGAATTCGAGATGACGGAATGAAAAGAAGAGTCAAGGTTGCAGCTTGTGCCATTTGCGAAGACTGGTCAATGATAATAGACTGGAGCAGACCTCGATTGTAATTCAGAACCATAACTTTTGATTCCCAGACTAGGAATAAGTCTGCTCATCTCATCCTATATCCCTATCAACTCCCTGAAGACTTACCTTACCTTACCTTACCTACCTGATAATCGTGCCCTGCTTTTCAATACCACCAGCATAAGGCCCCTCAAGGATATCACTCCCACCTAACAAGCCCATCGAGCCACCACCCAGCAAGCCGCCTGCGCCCATACTACCCCGTCGATCACTCCATATCTCATGAAACCGAATCGCCATATCACTCGCGGCCACAACAATGCATCCTTCCTCAACACCTCTCCGCGACCACACACCGTCTTCACCCCTCGCCCTCCCACCATCACGATCGTCGTCTGTCTGCGGACCGCTCGTGGGGCCGCCCGGGTAAGCAACTGCACACAACGCGCGATTTTCGTCGTACCACGGGACGGCAACGACTTGTTCGCAGCTGGGCCAGGCGAAGACGGCGACACGATAGGGGTGTTCGGGCTGCGCGAAGCCGAAGGTTGCTGCGATCTCGCGGCGCGTCTGGGACCAGATGAGGCTAGTGATTTGAGCTGCGCAGTCGATGGTTGCAAGACAGGTGCCGGAGCGGGTGTGGTAGAAGTGGATGCAGCGGTCGTTTGAGCCGCCGCCGACGGCAAGGAGTCCGCGCTGCCAGGGGCAAAAGGCCATGGCCTTGACGGCGGCATTGAGTGTCCATGTGTGTTTTGCCGCTGATTGCGCGAGGTGTAGGACGGCGTTGTTGCTACGGTTGGTTACGGTGTAGATGGATTCGCCACGGGGACCTTCGCGGACGTCTAGGATTGCTGCTGTGTTTTCGCTTGCGGGGTTCGATCGGAGCACCTTCTTCGTTTCGAAAAGATTGCAGTTGTTGTCGTTCCCCCCACTCGCGAAAAGCTCACCGTCGGACGACCATGCTAGACCACAGATCTGTTGGCTGTGGATTGAAAGTCGAGCCAGCAGGGTCATGGCGCCAGTCCAACCGAAGAGTTCACTGTGTGTCTCTGACGGCCATTCTACACTGTAAAAGTAGATGTGACCGACTTCGTCCCCGATGAGCAACTCCTCAGTCGATACAGTCATTGCTCTATCTCGGAGAGAAGGGCGTTGCACAACAGTCGGTCTCCAGGATACACACGATACAGGCTTGGGTTGAGTTGCATCGAATCGTGGCTCAGCATCCAGTGGGCTCCATAGCAAGATGCGGCCATCGGCTCGTCCCACAGCAAGGATCGCTTGACCGCCTGCTGTAGAGGAAAAGTCTAAGGATGTGACGTGCTGAACATCTGCGGGACCGTTTGGCGGCACAGCGTTCAGCGAGTCTGGCGTGTTGACACCGTTTCTCTCAGACCAGAGATGAACAAAATTTCCTAGGCCGACAGCCAGACACTTGGAGGTGTAGGAATATGCGAGTAGGGTACAGTAGTAGTCGTCGCGGAGGTTAGGGGCATCGAGAACTGTGAGCGGAGTCAGTATTGAGAAGTATCGGTAATCAGAAGAACATATCGAAAAGGCAAGATCGGCACCGGTCTTCGCTTTGGTGGTGTCTGGCGGGGACCTTTCATCTCAGATTAGCAGCGAAACTACATTTGGAGTCCATAGCAAATGAGAACAAACTCGAAACGACTCCGTCCCTAGTCCAAGCTCCGTCTCGCCAGACATGTTTTGCCTGCGATGCAGGACCACTATGTGGTGAGCTCGACGACACTGGAGAAGATGAGTGTTGGAGGATGCGATCAGTCGGGTCAATGTCGAGCGCCAGTGCGAGACGTCTTTCGTAGGCTTCAAGTTCGGCATCGGGATCTGCTCGGTTCAGGAAAGCCGATTTGTACAATGGCGCGTTTGTTCCACTCCCAAGCATTCCACCTCTACCAGTGGAGACTGCTACTACTGTGTCACTCACAGCAGAAGGCCCACCAACATTCCAGACAGCGCCAGCGCTGATCTGGCGAGTACCCAGAGGTAGAGGGGTTTGTCTGAAGTTGACGTTTCTTCTGTTTGCATTTGCCCGGCCTGAAACTACAGAGTGTGCCTCCCTGAGGCCGCGTAGTTCTTCGTTCATACGGCCACTTCTGCGCAGTCGGCGACTGAAAGCATCTGTTCCTGTACGTATGCCACGATTCGTGTTCTGTTCCTTGTTCCGACGCTCCGCAGGGCTGTTGAGCTCGAAGCTTTCTCGTGTGATAGTGGGTGGTCGGCGGCAAGCGATAAAACGATCTGGTGTACTTGTTTGGGGTTGACGAGGTGATGCTAGCAAGCCACCTCGTGCTTGCCATTGACTGGATCTGAGGGGAGAGCTGGCATAGCGCAAGGGAAGACGGCGAAGCTTGGTGGGCGGAGAACTGTCGTCAGCAGAGATGTCAACGCAGCCTAAGTGCGGTAGATTTGGTCTTTCGAACGTAGTGACTGTATCTGTTGGAATGAGTGAAGGAGATACTGCGCGGCTTGCATTTTCAACTATGCTGTCCGAGGAACTGCGATTGCTGCGTCGTCGCTTGCTGGAAGAGGATTCATCTCGAAGCGGGTTGAGGTCGCAAGGTACCGGCACAGATACGTGATTAGTCGGACTCAGGTCTGGAGTTGACAGCGCTTCAAGACGAGAGAGAAATTTGGACTTGGACTTCCTAGGAGAAGACAATGGAGTTGAGCAATGACTGGTAAAGCCGCTGTCGATATCCCTGAAGAAGAGGCAGCTGCGACTTTTGCGCGGAGACTGAGGCGTCCGAGGTGATGCCCAGCCCTCGGTACTGACAGTCTTCGTAGGAGACAGCGGCGGTGTGAGGTAGCCGGACCGAGACAGAGATGCTTCGTCACCAGTGTCGCTCATGTTGGAACAGCTTGTGTCAAGATGAGTGGACTGGGGGACTGAGCTGTGAACTTCAGCGCATGTGAAGCTGTCTGAAGGAGAGGAGCTAGGAGGCCGGAGACCGGGTGCTGCCTGATGTCCCGGTGTTATTGCTGCTGGGTTAGTAATAGCAATGGCTGCTGAAGGTTGCTTAGGATGTTTGGAGCATCTATAGGGTTGGCGGATGCGGCTAGTGGTGACGGCAACCTTCCGCGAGGGATGACGGAGGGGCAGGGGCTCCACGCGTGTAGTGGGGCAACATTCCGCCGAGGCTGCAACTCGAGGAAGCAACGCTGAAGCCTCCGAGACAGCGCAGAAACATATGGCAAGCGTAAGTTGACTTTACAATCGCTCGGAAGATCCTTGCTGACAAGTGTAGCACGGTATATCGCGCGGGTCTGGCCCGGTCGTCCGCTCAGAAGAAGCACGGCAGAAGGAGCTGCGACAGATCACAAACTACAAAGATTTGGCGGATCTGGTGAACACAAAGGTATTGCAGCCAGGAGAAGCATTCATTGGATTCAGCTGACAGTCGCTTCTCAGGTTGCCGAGAAGCAATATACGATCGAAGTTCTGGGCCTAGTCACGAAACTCTTGAACGAGAATCCTGAATACTACACGATATGGAATCACCGAAGACGCGTCTTGATGGCTCTGGTGACCGCAGACACCCCCGAACAATCACCAGACGAACTCTTGCAGGGCGACCTGCAGCTCACATTTGCGCTATTACGAAAGTTCCCCAAATGCTATTGGATATGGAACCACAGAAACTGGCTGTTGCGCGAAGGCGAAGCGCTGATGGGCGCGGACGCAGCACGTAAGCTCTGGTCGGGAGAATTACAACTCATAAACAAGATGCTACACGCAGACAGTCGCAACTTCCATGCTTGGGGCTACAGGCGATTCGTAGTGTCGCAGATCGAGCGTCTGACCGCATCCGAGGACGTTTCCGCATCAGGGACAGCACAGAAGAGCCTGTCAGAATCTGAATTCGAGTACACGACCAAGATGATCAAGACCAATCTCTCCAACTTCTCCGCTTGGCACAACCGTAGCCAGCTTATCCCCAAGATCCTCCGCGAGCGCAACGCAGACGCTGAAGCGCGCCGTGCATTTCTCGACTCGGAACTAGCTTTGATATGCGAAGCCATAAACACGGATCCCTTCGACCAGTCCATTTGGTTCTATCACCAATATCTCCTCTCCATATTGTCTCCGTCATGTCCACCGGATGCGCTTGTCGTCCGGGACCTGACCAACGGCGAGCGGCAAAAGTACTACGAGCACGAGATGGAGTACATCAGGGAGATATTGGAGGACGAGGCGGATTGCAAGTGGATATACGAGGCGCTGCTCGGGCTTGCAGAGGCGTATTTGGAGGTGGACTCCGGGACTGGGTCGTTTACAACAAAGGATATGAGGGGGTGGCTAGACGAGCTAAAGCGTCTGGACCCGCTGCGGCGGGGACGATGGGACGATCTCGAGCGCAGGCTGAACCTATGAAATCCATTATGGTAGCATTCAAGGCTTGCTGTTGGGCTTCTCCACACTACTCGTTGCAGTCGCAGACGCGGCTTCCGTCTTGTTGTCCTTCTTCCATGCCCAGAGCCCAAGCACGTTTGACCATGAGTTGTCGGCAGGCGCGGAGGCGACAGCTTCCTCTTTCTGAGTCTGTAGTTGTGCGGAAGGTGGGGGTGCTATAGCACTCGACGCAACGGGGATGGGATTCGGGGTGCTGGAAGCGTTTGCAGCGGCGAGTTCCCTGTCACGAATGTTAGTGAAAGCGACAAAAGTACCTGTGGAGTCTGCGTACCGTTTGTACTCCTCCTCCATCCGTGCGATTCGCTGTTTCTTGAATTCTCCATCGAACGTAGCTACCCCGATTGACACTCCAACGATAGTCGCCAACGCGACTGGAAGAATACGTCCCGCCATTTTGTGTGTTCGTTGCGTAAAATCACGGCGGTCGAGTTTGGCGTGTATGACGAAAGCACTCCCGCGGGCAAAAAGTTGAGCCCGCCGCCGTCGCCAGCACGCGCTAAGCGGAGCACGGGACGACGCGCCATGCCTTCAGCCATCACCCAAAACCTCACCCCGCCAGCATCCAACCGCGGAACGACATGCAGGCGCGTCCAAATGTCCAAATGGCGACAGAAAGGTTTTGTCCAGGACTCGGATGAGGAAGAAGACGAGTCTCAGCTTGAGAGTCAGAGTTCCAGGCAGAGTGTTGGCCTGAGTGGACGCGTCGAACGCGTCGAAGATGGCATCGCGCCGGTCCGACGGCATGAGGCACCCACGGAAGAGGTGCACGGAGTCAACCAAGAGGAGGGAGAAGAGAAGTATGCCGACGAAGGCATCAATGGGATAGAGAAGCAAGAGACGGGCATCGCCACGCCTACCAAACACAGCTCGCCGAGACGCCCTACGCCATCTCCCTTCACGCCCAAATCAACGCGCAGTACAAGAAGAGAGCCCACCGAGAGCCCTGATCCGCTGCTAGGCTCACCTACGCCTAGAAACCGACAGGCTGTACCACCTCCGTCGTCACAGCGCCTGGCATCCCCGATTCTCCAGCCAAGCTCTGCCGTGTCCATACCTCAACTCGACGACGGCCATGTTGTGCCCCTCTCCGATGCCTCGATTACCCCGATACAATCAACTGTCCCCGGGGAACCTCAAACCTCTACACATGCTTCAAGCATACTCAGAGAGTTCGGCATCGCGCCGTTGTCCGATGATTCCGACGATGATCTCTCAGATCCGCCCTCGGACCTGGAATCGCCCCCTCCTGCTTTCGCTGAGCCCCATCGTCGTACGGCAGTTCAAGTTGTCATACCATCCGCAACGGCTCTACAAAGACAAATCGCCGATGATAGGGCAAGACGCGAGTTTCGACAACGGAAGCCCATCCAAATGCACCCATATGCGTTGGAGGGTGAGATGTATCGGAGAGAAGTACAGAGTAGAGGCCTCAAGCCGGTGCGAAGAGAACGTTCACGTTCCCCTCAGGGTCATCACAGACAGCCAAACGATGAGTCGCAAGAACAGGAGTTCAATCCCGATCAAAGCCCCACAAGCAGCCCTCCCGAGGTCGAGATACCCGTCTCTACACCTGTGCTGCCACGTCCAAGAAATGATCTCGTTCATCGGCCTACTTCTGGTCCCGCCAGACGTCCTCCTTCTACACAGCTCCGTCACCCTCATGCAGCCAAGCGTAGGAAGCCTAATTTCTCATCCACACAAGTAGCGGCGGCACCGACAAGCATTTTTGAAGACAGTGATATGCGACGCGATATTTGGTCCATACCTCCGAACTCGCCGCCGTATTCAAGTAGTCCGCCATTACATGGAACCACGTCAGCTCGCCGTCCAGCTATGCTGCGTGTATCAACTCCTGCTCCAAACTTGCCGACGCCGTCTACGTCGTCTGTCATGCAAGAAGACCCTCAGATGCTCCAGGGCTCAGACTCCGAGCCTGCCCCGCGCAGCATACAAAGATCCGGTGGAGAACTGCGTCGGCCAACAAGGGTAGTGATAACGGACAGCTCATCTTCGGCTGCAGGCTCTGCTAGTGAGGCAGAGAAGAGTGACGATGACATGCGTCATGTGGGCCGAAAGATCAAGGGAGTTTTGCCTGCTTCTTGGCTGCGATTCGATCGCCAGGCACAAGAGCGACGGAAGGCTCAACAGCGCGAGCGGGAACGCGCGCGTATCAATGCAGCTGCTTCCCCCGAGCCAACAGTGCCTGTTCGTGGAGTCGCTCAGAGAATCATGAGACCTGCTGGCCGACCTCGACAAAGTTCAGCTTCCAACACGCCTTCGCAAGCTCCTGTTGTCATATCTGATGATTCAGATGACGGGCCCATGGCTTCTGAGCCCCGGCCTTTGCAAAGGGTGCAAGACTCTGTGGCCGACGCCTCTGCGTTAGCTGCAATGTTTGACGATCGTTATGCCGATGACAACCTGTCCGACATGGAACACGACCGTCTACCACTCCCTACGCTCGGTGGGACTGGATCAAAGCGGAGAAAGCAGACCAAACTTACAGACGCTTTCGCGAAATCCAAGAAAGTCAGACTATCAGACGGGTTGGCAAAGAACGTTGGCTCTGGGAAACGATCGTCTGGTGGTCAATCCTCGAACAGGAAGCATGGCCACTCCAAGAAATCACGCAGAACCCCACCACCTGCCATGAGTGTCATTGACATTGATCT